TGGTTGTTACTCCATCTGGGCAAATGATGTGAAAACCTAATAATAAGGACTATTAGCTATTGGTCACGTTTCTTAAATCACGACTGAAAGATTTTCAGACAGTGTAGCTGAGCATGGTTCACAGCTCCGTACAATGATGTACCAGTTACAATGATGCAATCCCAAATTTCCATCAAATGTCAAATTATATGGCATGGACCTGGACTTGAAAAGCAAAGTCCTTCAGGGCTTAAAGAAAGGTCACCCGAGACATGGAGAAGAGACTGTGCAAGGCTACTCTCTAACTTCAAGAGATGTGAGTTATTAACATTTCACTTTGATTTAACAAGGCTTGGATACCTTTGCACTCCTTTGGTTGAAAAAAGGAAAATCAAGTTTACTGAGCACTGTAATGTATTTTATTTACAGTATTGTCCAACTTTTAACCAGTATAAGCTTAATACCTAATTTGTAAAAGGTGGTTGAGTAATTTCAAGACTCTCAAATCAAAGTGTAAAAGAGAAAAAAGTAAAGACTAAAGCTACCATTCAATGTCTGCTTTAAAAGCGGCAAACACAGGTAGCTCCTCCGTCACTAAGTTACATTGAAAAGGGCAACTAAACAAAAAGGAAAAAAATCTTACAAGAAATGAAATCTGAGGTTATTTGATGAACATTTTAAGGCAGCAGTGCCACTGAAACAAGCACTTCTGCTTGCTTTGTTGTCGGCTCCTTGCTCTTCCTCTGCATTATCCCCTGCTTTTGCTGGAACAGGTCTCTCTGCAGTGAAGCAATGGGTAACGGATTCGGCTAAAAGCAATCTTTCTTCTTGCTGGCTACTTTCCAACTGGATCAGTGTCATGGTCATCCTCATCCACATAAAAATGATTGTGTTGGCTGACAAACCATGGGAGTAAAAAACAGCGCTTGGAAAGGTGCAGAAGGATTTAATACTGAGCTTCAAATATACTCAGGGTTCCTAAGCAAGTTTTGGTTTATTTTCCTCCTGACAGAGCAAACATTTCAAATTTCTGCTATGTAATAAGGCAAAAATAAGGCTCTCCTTTCTTGTTCTGCACATTGTACTTTAGTTGTGCTTGGACCAGAATAAAACAGCTCACATCTGTGTGACTTACTTACCCATTTTGCAGTTTTTCACTGAGCTTGCAATAACATACATTTCTTGTGTTAATAGAGATTTACCCAAAATATTCTGCTGGTCACTGAAAAAATCCCAAACCTAGAAGAGACTAAATGTTTTAGACCCTTTAAAGGTCTGACCTAGGGACACTGGCAGTACGCAGAACTTACCAGCAATGGACAGGACAGCATCAAAGCACTCGCTTCGATAAGGCAGACACAAGCTATGGCATACCATGACTTCATGGCCTTCGTTTCGTGCTGATTCCACCAGCGGGAAACAGTAGTCGCAACCCAGTTTATAGACTTGAGAATTGATGTGAAGGTATTTGCCATTTCCGCAGCCTGAAGAAATAATGAGAAAGGCAGGCGGACATTTGGTGTCTGTTCAAAAGGAAATGTATTCCTGACATAAGCCATGATGTACGCCCTCGACTGGCCTAATAGCTTGAAATTCTCCACCCCTTTTAAAGGAGATGATACAATTGCAGTGGAATTCAGGTTATTTTTTACCATCACAGTACAATGAGCACAGACTGCTCCTTTCTGTCTAGCAGGCTCTCTGCTGCGTGACAGGAGGTGTTCAAGTGGGATTGCTAGAGAGCATTTACCTTGGCCTTCCCACCACATACAGAATAAAAAATATTTATGGTAATGATGCTACTGCAATTCTGCTTGTAGTAGACTCCAAATGCTGAGTGACAGCATCATGTAGTGGGAGCACAGCACGGAATTATTCCTGTGTATTGAAGTGCTGATATACAAACTAGACTGCTAAGTAATTAAGTCACTATTACACCAAATCATTACATCCATTGTTTGCTGTTTTAACTGCTGCTAATTGCTGTCACCATGACAACAGTGGAGTTTCTTTTTCTGGTATCTCCAGCGGTTTCCTTTTCATAATGGATCCTGCAACACGGAAATTTACATCTTCCCAAACTGAAATACTTCTCGTGTTGAAATAAAGGCAGACATCTTTAGATAAGAATGACTATAATGTCAGCAGTAAAATGGATCTTATCTAACTTTTTGATAATCTGTTTGCAGAATTATCTGGATCTTAACACAAAGTATGTTTTAAAGTAGATTATTGATTTTAAAAACTTGCTTTCTCACTTGCATCATAAAAATCATAGTTCAGATTAAGATCAGGGAGGTAAATGCATTGGGCTAACATAATACCCTGTGCCTTGCACAGACCTTAGTTCACATCCTGTTTATGGCTACGCTTACATCAAACATTAAGCTTGGGTCAGAGCCCAGATTTTATCTCTAATTCACTTAAAAAAAAATTATGGTTATTTTTGAGCCTTCCAAATATTTAAGTCCATATATTTAGGTTACAGCCATCCCATAGCACCATTCTGAAACCCTGTGTGGGTCCCTATGTTCAGTAAGGAGCCTCCCAGCCCCATCACTCTGTGATGCCATTTGAATGGGAGATGAATCATCACTGAGCTGCTGATGGAAGTCTTCTCCTAACTGCTCGTCTAATATTAACTGCTGATCCCATTTCCTAGGAATGAAAGAAAGATATCCAGAGGGAAGCTGGAGCTCTCTCAGTCCTTCCCATGCCTGACTTTAGCACCAGCCGAGAAGAGGTGCTGTGAAATGGTGCCAGCACTTGGCTAATACTAGAGTCTATTTACCAAGACGAAAGAGCAGAAAAAGGACTACCCTAGAGCTCTGACTGGAAGATAGCCCCGGGACTGGGCTCCCCAGTTGAAGAAAGACAGGGAACTACTGGAAAGAGTCCAGTGGAGGGCTAAAAAGATGATGAGGGGACTGGAGCATCTCTTGTATGAGGAAAGGCTGAGAGAGCTGGGGCTGTTTAGTCTGGAGAAGACTGAGAGGAGATCTCATCAACGCTTATTAATATTTAAAGGGCTGATGTCAAGGGGATGGGGCCAGACTCTTTTCAGCGGTGCCCAGCGACAGGGCAAGGGGCAACGGGCACAACCTGGAACACAGGAAGTTCCATCTCAACATGAGGAAAAATGTCTTCACTGTGAGGGTGACCAAGCACTGGGACAGGCTGCCCAGAGAGGTTGTGGAGTCTCCTTCTCTGGAGATATTCAAACCCCACCTGGACACGATCCTGTGCAACCTGCTCTGGGTGATCCTGCTTTAGCTGGGGGGTTGGACTAGATGATCTCCAGAGGTCCCTCCCAACCCCTACCACTCTGTGATTCTGTGACTTTTTCTGGTTTTCACTTTTGGAAGGAAAGTCTCCAGTATAAGCCAAACAACAGCTACTGAAAACATTTCCTCTGGCACCAGAGGCTGCTTCCCAGGGATGGAAGGGCAGAGGAGAGCCATGCAGGTAGACTCCAGTGCTGTGGAACCGCTC